CTATGATGCTCTCACCTTCTCCGTTTCTCCCTTCTACACCCCATCCACCGTGTACCCTGGGCAGTACCCCTCTTTCTGCTCCAATGTGCCCATTCAAGTCCCCTCCTAGAAACACTCTTTCCTCCTGCGGTATCGACTGTATTTCTTCGTCCAGATGTCTCCAGAACTCTTCCTTCTATTCCTCAGTACATCCCACTTGTGGAGCGTATGCGCAAACCACATTTAGAACTGTACTTCCAACTCCCAACTTCACACTCATTATCCTATCGCTCCTCCTTCCCACGCTCACCAAATCCTCCCTCCACTTACTGTCCAGTACAATGCCTACACCATTCCGCCCTTGGGCGTTTGCTCCACTGTAGGCGAGCTTACACCCTGCTCCAATGTCCCTCGACTTGTTCCCCCTCCACCTCGTCTCCTGCACACACAACCCACCCACCTTTCTTCTCTCCATCAGGTCTGCCAGCTCTCTACCCCTTCCTATCATGCTTCCTACGTTCAGCGTTCCAGCTCTTAGATTTTGGACTAACTTCTTTGGCCATGCTCGTCCTTGACGCGGTAGCCCTTGCTCACTTCTCACAGGTGTCAGGCGAGATCCCTGCACATCGCATTCAGGGGACGCCCTGGCATTTTCCGAGGCTACATTCAAATGAACTGTCATTTTGGTTTTGGCAGAGTTTGGTTTTGGCCGGATGCCCTTCCTGACGCCAACCATCCCCATTTATGCGGGCTTTGGACCAGCACCGAGTTGTGCTGGCTTGCACCCCCAGTGGCTGGGTTGTATAGTGGCGACTTATAAAGTGTAATAATCGCAGATAGTATTGTATTAATAGAGTAGAGAGGAATATATCGTTTTCTCAGTTGGGTTGTAAAGTAACTGAACCAGTCTATGTGGACTCTGACGTAAATGAGAATTAGTTACAGCTTTGTATACAACTGTAGTAACCAAGGTGGTAACGTAAGTGAAATTATCACTGATTGTATTGTGATAACAGAGTAGAGAAGAATAATTTGTCTTGTCAATTGGGTTGTAAAGTAATTGAACCAACCTGTGTGGACTTTTGACGAAAAATATAATTATTCAAAGCTCTGAATTCAACTGTGGTGACCAACTGTGTAATAATATTTGTATATGTGTTTGACATGTTTTAATATGCTCTTCTAAAACAAGTGGACTGCGTTCTGTTTGTTTGTCGCTGAAATTTATCGCCAACAAGTAACAGACACCTACTGTAAAGAATCCGGCCGATATTCATACATAAAAACCTGACAGTGGTATTCCTCTAACCCAGCAATTTTCAAATTATGGAGTGCTCCTCCATAAGGAAATCTTAAGTGCGAGTCAGTTCTTTTTTTTTAAAAGATTTAGTAACTTTACCAAAATAAAAGTTATTAGAAAAATGACAGAAAGAAAAATATCGCAAATAAATTTTGTTTATCTTGCCAGGTGGCATGCCTTATAAACCATATGCTACATGGTTTTTCTACAAATCTCAGAGGGTTTTCCCGTATAATATCTCAATTCATAAAATATTGGGAGGCACTTTTTATGTGGTCTTATTGGTCTTAGCTTAGGGAGACTCGCTATGACAAAGTTGAGAGCCTATGCTCTAACCCAGTGGTTCTCAACGTGGGCCACGCCATGTTTCTAAGGGGCCACACGTGAATGACTGAAAATTAGGGGACCAAGGTAAATTTTGAGTGGACCACCGAAACTTCACTGCCCGAATAAAATATGTAAAATTTAAAATTGAATCAAAGGTTCCCTTTTCCCCGTATCCCCCATAGCTCAGAAGTCAAGTTACCAGACGCGACTAGTACTTGAGTAACAATCAAAATGTTTGTCTGGTATCTGTAAATGTTTTCGACTGATTCTCAAGAGCAGCAGAGTGATATAGTAGCCCAAGCTAGATTCAAACGTGACAAACATTATTTCTGGATAAGTAGTGAAATAGCTAATAAGTTCCACTGCTCTGAGAGAAGGCAAAGCTGTATTTTATCGCTTTTCCCACATCTTATCTGGTAGAATCTGGTTTTAGTCGGGTGACTTATTTGCTATCAAAAATACGTAGCCGCCTTGATGTTGTGAAAAGAGGTGATCTTTGCTTATCACTGACCACACTGCAACCGGACATTCAAAAACTTCCAAGTGTTCATGAGGCCCAAGGATCATACTGAATAAAATGTCAATGATTAACAGAATATTTTTTACTTGTATAAGTAAACAGTATGTTATAAACAAAATATTTAAAAACAATACAATATTGTAAAAATAGTATCATAATATTATAAATATATTGTAAATCAACAGTGTGGAAATAAAGTAACTTTTTTCCTAAGTAACAGTGTCTACGAACGATGGGGCCACATAGATAAATCAAACTCAAAAGGGAGACACTAGCAAAAAAGTATGAGAAACACTGCTCTAACCTAATAGTTTGCATCACCATGTAGCAATAGATCGGAGTTGTTAATAGATGACACTTGGTAAAGCAATGAGTACATTTACATTGACTCTTTAAAAACAAATATTTTAAAAAATTGAAATAAAAGTAAAGCTCTGTTGAGAATATCATCTTTCAAAAACTCGTTCTCCGACTTTGTAAAATTCTTAAGTTTTGGATATAGAAAAACATGATTATAGCAATAAAAACGAAGGCAGTTACAGTGAGATAAACAAAAATACAATGATCCTTCTGAATCAGGCTAATTTCACACGTAATAATAACAATATAATAATAAAGAAAATTGCTCTAAATTGTCCTTCTAATTCAAACTTAAGGGAAGTTATAGCCACAAGACATCACGTGACCTAAAATTTGAGGACAGTGCTGTCGAAATCCTTGCACAATGTGCAAAATTTCAGCTATACCAACACCATCCCAGGAAAAACAGATTACTTTATGTTATTTTCAGATAAAAACTTATTTCGTGACAAATGTTAACTAGTTATGCCTGCTAATAACAGCAGATTTGCTCAGTAAATAATAAAAGTAACTCTTAATCTCATAAGTTAACTGAGTTTTTCTAATGTGTGCGAAATAATGAGACTGAATAAATTTAGTGAAAATGAATCCAATCTTTATTATGAAACAAATTAAAAGAAAATTCAGCTTATGTAATTGTGCAAACAGAATCACATTTGATTGTATATATGTGTTAAAGATTTAGGTTACTATATGGTGAAGTAAAACGGACTCAAAAACCCCATACATAGTGTTACGACAGCGGAAGTCACGTGACGCTGGTCACACGTGATGAGGTTCTAGAAGGATCATGACTTTTCCTGGCAACTCTAGTCTGTTCCAGGCGCCCTCTTTTTTAGTATATAAGCCCGGCAAATAAAGCAGAGAGGGAGAATTGGATAGCAAGAGAGAGATTGAAGATAGAGATAACCGAGTCAAGCCGTAAGTTCCACTTAGCTTTGGCTAGCCTGTCCCGCAGGCACCAGACCTCCATTTTTCTGGACCCTGTGCTTATGCTAAAACTGCATAGAAGCTAACTAAACATTATTTTCATTTTCCATCAAATGTATCCAATCAGTTTACTTCTCACACAACTTAAAATTCAGTCACGTTATCGAATACAGATTACTCTCCTTATTTCCTGGCCTAATCTGTTGTTATTAGTGAATCCAACTATCTGATACTTATAAGGAAATCAGTTCACCTGAAAGTACAACATTACTGCTGCTAACACTGTGGGCTTCTTTTGCTCAGACAATTTAGTTGATGTTACAATACTTTACCTCATTGCTAAGGATACAGCTTTAATTAAAGATGTGATATCTCTAATGCCAAGTGCTATTATGTAGACTTGTAGAGAATCTCTGTATATAGACCAGAGTATCGTCTTGATTGGCTGCTGCAATGCTGGTATATGCTTTGCAGAACACGTTTGCAGCTCAGTGGAATATGCTGCTAAATTTTCATCAGTACCAAGTTTATGAATCTTGAAATCTGCACAATAGCTTTGTTTTCTATTAGGTCAGGTCAATAAGGAACCCTTCCCGAGTAATAAAGTTGGTCAGGTTCCAAGTAATCTATGACATGTAGTGCTGAACAAACCAATCTAAACAGCAAATGCTACACCATATGTTTCTGGGTCATTAATTACATCCAGCTACCTGACAAAATATTTAATTCACTGAACATTTGAATAATGGAGTTACACAATGTGCTTCATTTCATTACTGCCTGTTGGCATTAGCAAAGGCAACCTATTCTTGTGTATGTCACTCTGTATGGATGACTATGAAGCCAGAGTTAAAACTTGCATCAACTCTTCTCTAGCAACTGATTATGCCATATGTAAACCTCTTACTCAGACTCATTTGAGTGGTGTGTTGCCATAGCAACAGCATCATTACCCAAGGCTGCTTGACAATTTCTCCTCTTATAAGAGGGCTCCTGGTTTATCCGGTGTATATCATACACATGGTTAGATGATGACCAGGTTCCACTACAAGATGAGTAGGGACAGTGCAGTGAATATTATCTGCCCATCATAGCTCATCTCTAGCTGCTTCTAAAGAGGGCTATCCAACAAAGGAATCCAGGTGTGTTATACTCTGAACTACATTGTTGTACAGATTACTTTAGCAGACCTCACCAAAACTGCTAACCCCTTCTTAATGCCTTTTCCACCTCTGCTCTTCAGCTTGGTGATCTGCTTGAGAGCAACAGACATCAGCAATTCTGATAGACCAGGTCACAGTTCAGTTGTGTTGGTGGGTGGATAGAATATGAAACTCTAGAATATCTTCTTCGGCGAGGGAGAGCACTTATTATTATTCAGTAGAGAACTTCTCTGAGTCTGTTGGGGAGCCACTGTTCACACCTTCCGATCAGCTTGTCTCTCCCCTTCTTTTCTAAAGTTCTTGCTAGAAATGCAGAGGCGTGGTTTAAATATTTAATCATTAAGAGCACGAGAAAGAAAGGTAATGTAGCATAGTTGAAGATACAAATCAACGAGGACATACACAAGAACTAGATACTGCTCAATAGCAACAGAATTTGCTTTAAAGTAAGCTGTGATAATTAATTTCAAGGATAAATCTAACACACAAGATATTTGCGAACTGAGTATGGGGAAGAACAGCTATAGTGATATGCAATAAGTGGAATGACAGAGACAAACCTCAGTGTGTGGACAGACAGAGAAATAAACACTTTATTCAGAAAGAAAAACTGCTTATCAACTAGGTGGTTGGACTATTGTTGAATGTTGAAGTGTAATATAAAATAAAAACAAGTGAAAATAAAAGTGTTTTTTTAAATAAACCGAAGATGAAGCACACGTTATCAGCATGGTTAACAGTTGAAATGCTGCCAACATTGACAAGACTTCATTAGTCTTTGAAGAAAGACACACCTCCTGCGTCAAAACTGCATTCACAATTCACATTCTCTCTGTTTGTTTGTTTACTTGTTTGAAGTTAAGCACAAAGCTACACAATGGGATATCTGTACTCTGCCCACCACGGGTATTTAAACCCAGTTTCTAGCGTTGTAAGTCCGCAGACATACCGCTGTGCCACTGGGGTGACATTCTCTCTGTAATAAAACAATTAGGAAACTGGAACACAAGAATCCAGAAGTATCACTTCTTCATATTAAAGTTCTAAAGCAGTTCTTTATACACAAGATAAATTAGAATACAATACAACTACTACGTGAACTTAAATATATATATATATTCTGTGATCAGATTCTGATATCA